CATTCTTCAGGCATCCTTTTGCATACATTTTACAAATACTCCGACAATCTTATTTATATTACATCATATTTACTACGATCGCAACATGTAATTTGCATATAAATATATTTATCGTCGTCGTACATTATTTTGAATGTTTTTAGCGATCGAGGAACGATTTTTATTGCGTCGATCAGCTTTTCCTAACGCTTCTGAGCGACTTCCTTGATCTCCTCCGTGCTGCCGATCGACGTTCGCTGAAGGACATTTTGCAGGTCCTGCAAAGCGTGCTTTTGCACCACGTAGTTGTATCGACAGTAGCACCAGTAAACCACGACGACGCCCATGTAGGAGCCCAGGGCCACGTTCGTCGACAGCTTAACGCGACTCGTGAACAGGAAGGTGGCCAGGCCGGCCGCGAGGCCGCCGTAGATGCCGGACAGCATGCTCTGCTTGAAGCAGGGAATCTTCCTGATGTCTCGGCCAAACAGCATCACCGCCTTGGACTGATCGTCCTCCACATTTCCGATGTCCATCGCGTTCCTCCTGTTAGTCGTTTGTAATATAAACGCTTTTACGTAACTCCTCCGCGAGGAAGGCGCAAAGTAAGGTTAACCTAACCTAACCAGTCGTTGTTCCTTCCACTTCCAGTTGCACTCTCTACACTTTGTGTCCCTTCGCAAATCGGAGCTGATTCGCGGCGGCAGCGGCGGCGGCGGCTCGCGGGACGGGATGACGTCGCACGACGCATGTTCCGTGCTATCGAATGACAGGTGGTGCGGCGCGGCGCGGCTCGGCTCGGCTCAACTCGGCGCTCGCCCGCTCGGCTTTCAATCCCGTCCCGTGCACACGTTCGGTACGTGATCGCTCGCGCGAGGAACGCGGCCCGTTCGTGAACGTTTGACATTAAGTACGAGAAGCGTGGCGCACCGTCGTACTTTCGACGAGGGAACGGACGTGACAGAGAGAGAGAGAGAGAGAGAGGAAGATTCTCTCGTTTACAGTTCACACGTCGCGAAGGCGCGAGTCGTGTTTACTCCGAAACTCAGAAGACAGCACTCAGGACACCCGTCGTCATCACTCCGGATTGTGCAAATCGCGGTGACATGCACGCACGGTCACTCGTGCGTCGCTGCTCGTAGGTGCTCCTCCCCTACCCCGCGTTCAGTTCCTACGATGTGTACCACGTATCCGCGCGACTCACCCGGGAGATTCAGCTGCGGAAGAGGTAAGAATCGTAAGAATCATCCCCCCCGTGCCCGAGGGGGCACCGCGATGCGGGTCGATCGCGGTGTCCCTTAACCTTACCCGCGAAAACAAACCGGGGGGGATGGGGGGAATAACGTCGATGCTCGCGAACGATTTCGGAGATCGCGAATTCGATTTCGAGAGGCGACCGACCGCGTGCAAATTAAATCCGAGTCACGTAAATAAACGTGACGTGTGTACACGTATGTTCAACGGCGCGTTACATCACGGAGGCTGCCGAGCTGCCGAAAGATAGTAATTGATAGCGAGGAGATAAGACGCGCGCGCGGTGACAACAATACGTTTGTTCGTCCGCTGTCACTCGCGGGGATAGATCGCCGGGGCGTAGATCAGACGTATGATTTCGGAGTACACGCGTCATGTTTCGATTCTGATACTTTTCCGTCGGAAACCACCCTTGTCCCGACGGCAAGAGTCACTTCCGCGCGGAAGAACGCGCGCGTCCGAAAGCCGGAAGGCGGCGTGAGTTCTGTGACCCTCGCATGAAGGTGGACGACTTGATTTTTTTCCAGTGTATTCGAGATTACTCTACGGCAGGCCAGGCATAAAACCGCAGGGATTTTCGTTTCTGTGAGTAAGGAATCGCGGAGACGCGGTTGATAT